ACAAATTAGGAAGCACTTGAAATATTAGGATTAGAAATATTAGTGAGACTGCTTTTCATCAGGAGATGATTCAAAAAGACAACCTGGGAGTTCCAAGTTCTTAAAAAGCTCGGTAAAGGAGGGGCTGGATTCGTGACCAAATGGGGCCACTTCAGGATCTACATCCTCAGCCACTCTGAACATTAGCAATGAACACTATAGCTCACGTCTAGACTGATGGACTCTGAGCTTCCACACCAATCCATAAAGCAGCATCCAATGCCTTCCAAAAGTGATTAGCAAGTTTTTTTCACATACCCCCACCCCTTCCCATCACACTTTAATACAAGGATCACTTAAAATGACTACCTACATACTTTTCTGCAAAAACATGAAAATTTGAGCATGAAATCCCATTTTCCCTTTGTACTGACATATAAATATAAGCGCCAATACAGGCACCACTAGCGAGACCAAGCCTACCTCACAGAAAAACTGGCCATAACGTTTACACAGTGCCCACTTTATGCCAAGGGCCACAGGCTGCCATTAACAGAACTGACCCATGCACACATCAGGTTGCACTATTTTGCAGACACACAGAAAGCTTTGGGAAGATATCCAAGATGGTATGGCACTCCATCTCTTAAAGAAGAGGAAACTCATTTTTGGACATAAGATTTTGCCAAGACCTGGCTTGACTTTTAAACTAGGTTCATGTGAGACTGGTGCAGAAGTCCAAGTATAGGTTAAAAAAAAAAAAAAAAAAAAACAGATCTGTGTAATGAATAAGATAAGTGAGTAGGATTATTTGCAAGAACACTACAGAAGAAAAGGTAAAAAGATCAATAAGTCAATCTGCAGAGCATCTGCTGTGCCTGAACATCAAGGCTGAGAGTAAAATAGAGCACCAGCAGGAGAAGTTGCAAGCATAAACTTATGATCAAAATCACACATAATAGTGGCATAACAGTGACTTGCTGGGAAAATTCACAACTAGGATATTAACGCAGACAGGCATCGCTTGCTCAGGAAAGGGAAGAAAAGACTTATAAATCACAGATACATACACAAATTCTGAAGGTTCCAGGGCATTCTCCTAAGCAAGTTAAAAAGACTGTAGGAAGTAACTGTTTGGTGGGTTAAAAAAACAAACAAACAACAACGTGATAGCACATCCTAGAAACCGCTATGGCTTGGCCATGGTCAAGCTGCAGGGGACATGTATTGATTGTGGCTCCACAAGGGTCTCAAAGTTCTCTATTATTCCACTTATTCAAAGTGAGTACACCTAAACTGGCAGAAAACATCGATTTGGAAGGGACAAGTAAGTCTACTACAGAACTGAATTCAAGATGTAGGGTTTTTGTGCGTGTTTTTTTTTTTTTTTTAATTAACTAGAAAAATAGCCTAATATTGTCGACCAATGTATAAAAGTTCACTAGAAAAAGGAAAGTCTGCTTAGAACATAAAACTGATTAAAAAAAGAGGTTTGAATTACTGCAGTGGAACTGTAGGTGAGAATACATCAAGAAATTTTTTAGCAGAAAGGTCCAAAATATTGAGTAATTTTATTTCACACAAAAGCATTAATATTGTTTTCTATTTTTATACACAAAACAATTTTAAAACCTTCTGATCTAGGCAGAAACCCGTAGATTTTTAGTAGGGTGCTAGCTGTTGATTTTTCATTATATTGTATGTAACAACATACTAGGGGAAATGCATTTTCAGATTCATTCTATTGAATTTCCAAGTTGACCATTGCTTGCTTGCAACACCATATTATTTTAAACTGAAATAAAAATAACATAAATATTAATCTGAAACCTATTTTTAATCTGCAAAGTGAAATGAAATTTACAAGTTTGTTTACACATTCATGAGAGGACAGATTTGATTTTCCCTTAATAGTTCCTACTGTTGGGAGTCAAATTGTATGCATTTGTTTTCCAATGTATTTGCATGTTCAAATCTGTCTCCAAAATAAACACTACAAACAGACCTTAAAGGTCACACACACTTTTAAAGCTTAGATAGGTGGAGGATTCTGGTTTCCTGCTGTCCACTGACTTTCACCAGCACCTTCGTGGTCACACCATCTGTAGTTGAGTATTAGCAGCAGGTTCCAGGCTAACGATAAACTATATGTTACTGACCTTGCATACACTTAAATCAAAAGGTTCTCAGGAACAGCCTGCTCCTGGAATAAGAGATGTGTTTCAGAGCAGGTGAACCCCCACAACCTGGATACACGAAGTAAGAAAGCGAGCACTTTTTGACCCAGCACCACCTAGTCTGTGCCAGACAACTTCATGCTGCCTCACAGGAAAATGGGCACAAAAACAGATGACAGAGAAAGATAAGAACCAGGCTGCAATGGGGGAATGAGCCCCTGACAACAGCATAGCCTCTTTGGGTAGTCTTCTCACATCTGCAGAGCACTGCTGCAACTGGCCACATATTTTAGGAGCTCTCCATATCTTTCTTCTGCTCTGAAGCATGAGAGATGAAGTGAATGCTGCCACTGGCAAGACCCAATTATCATAGGTAGGAGAGAGGGCATGGCATAGCAGTGTGGGAAGGTGTGAGATCCAGATTTGGCTTCTAAAGATCAAGAGAGCAGCACAGCCACAATCATCTTATGGAGATGCACAACACCTTGACAAAGCTACTTAAAGATTCAGAATTTTTAGCCTAAAAGTCACTTTCATCTTGTCATTGGTCTAACCCCCATCTAGCAGAAGGTCATGGCTGACCTCCAGTTCCCACTCACCTGTGGCAGTGCTCTTGTTTCCAGACAGACTGACATGCTTTACAATGGCCTCTCAGGTGACTCTCCACATAGTAACCACTACCACAATCTCTAGAAATGCCTTTTCACTCTAACTGCACTGCCCATATCCCAGTACCAACTGTAACTGCATTAAAACGGTATGATCTGAGTTAGGGTGATGATTCCTTTACAGATTCTTCTAAGCCAAGATGCAGGCTTGTACCTGGGTTATGTTAAGCAAACACGTCAATTGAGAAAAGCACTGCCTCCTTGGTTGTTCTCAAGAATCAGCATCCAGCCAGCACTTAACATCATCTTTCTGAACTCTAAGGAAAAGCATCATGAGTGGGTCTTGAATACAAAAGCAGACAAAAATGTAAAGTCTGCAGTTCCCATTGCTTCATTTCCATTTGACCAACAAGCAGCAGACCACCTTTGCCTCCTCTGTGCTCTTACACTGTAGATAAATATGTTCATTTCCTGGGATAAAAGGCAAGCATCCTCAGGGAGTTTCTAATTTGCATTTCATTTTCCTTGGCTCTCTTCTGAGACGATGAGAACAGCAGAGGTGGGCTACACTCTCCAGATATCATTAGTTTGGAGGAGCAGGAGCAAAAATACTCCTGAGCCATTAACGCAGTGCCAGACCAGGGGAGCATGATTAACACCTCACATACTAGTGGATGTGCATGCTTTGTATTTGATTTCTCTTTCCAGTAGCTAACATGTCATAAAATGGCCACAAAGCACTGGAAATAGAACAATAGCACTTCAACTCATGAGCGGATACTTCACATTCACTACAGCTGGACCTCTTTGCTGGACCTCTCAGCATGTCATATCTGGCTTCTCACCTCCATGTGTACCTCGCCAGATGTCTGTTTCTTTCAGGGCTGTCTTTGTACAAACACAAGTATCATTTTTATTTTTTTTTTTAATCTCCTGTTTAAAAGTGGCATCAAACAATTCCATGACATCAAACAAATAGATTGGTCTTTCTAGCTTCCTTCAAAATCCCTGTTACAATGAACATCTGAGTGCACAAAACTATTTGACATTTGACTAACTCCTTCTTGCAGTAAGTATTTGATACTATGAAAGGAGTTTATTTACAATAGCTTTGTGCTTGCAAATGTCACTCAAGCATCATCCGTAGCACAGCAGCAAACCACCTGGTGCCTGCCATAGCATTCTATTTACAAGGGGATGGAAAGGTTACATTGGGAAGTACAGCAGTAGTAGATTATTCAATTGTACTCTCAATAACTACTTGCGTAAAGATTTGTAGTAGCCCTTCATAGGAAATGCTGTAAAATACCAGAGACGTGACATTTTTGGAGTATTGTCCTACTGCAGGGATGTGAGACTGCCTATTTTAAAAAACCTCCCAAATAACTGTAGGAATTGAAAGTCCAACCAGAACACACACACACTTGACAGATTAATGCAAAAAACTTAAAGTGTCTCTTCAGCATATTTTTACTTTGCACTGTCTACAGATGACAGAAATGGAAGAGAGGAAAGAGAAAAGCTTGACAAGCCTTCTAGAATTTGTAACTTGATAATCCAGTCTATGTCTTAGCTTTGTGCTGAAGTAGGGACCACTGTTCCAGAGGTGGAGCGCACACTCTATAGCCTGATTTACAAGTCATGCTGTACCTGCATTGCTCAGTGTCTTTCAAGACAGGAGTGCTACATAAAAGCAGACATGTTAAGGACAAAGCAGCAGACTTAAGAGTTGGCTCACTAACAAAAGCACTGCAAAGTGACTTAAGGAGTGGCACAGCAGAATCCTTCATCTGTTGCTGATCACTGATTTCCAGATTAACCAACTTCAGTTGGCAAGCAGAACGAGCATCCCTTCATGCACAACAGCCAGCTGTTATGAACTGACTCAGTCTCAGAGTGCTCAGTGCTCAGAGATAGCTCAGCTGTCACTAAGACCTACAAATCAGATTTTTCAGAGCAGCTCCACGTCATGTCAAATGTCAGGTTCTTTTCTTTTTTTGTACCGTTACCACTACTGACATTTCCATACCCATCACGATCACTGTCCACAGCTGACAAGTCCACTCCCTCCTTGCTTGCTCTGTCACCAGATGGGTTTTGAACACGCCTAAAACTGCAAGGTGAGAGCAGCAAAGCATGCCATAATTTTTTCACAATCTCTGAGAGCATGTGGTTCTAGATACTATCCCTTTAAACACCTGGCTCAAGAACCACTGATATAGAACCAATTGCTCACCTTTTGATCCAGACTGTAGGCCAGGATCCACTCCTCCTGCTTGGGGTGGAAGAGCAGACTCTGGATATAGAAGTTCAGACGGTACTTCTGGTACGTAGCCCCTTCATCAGAGCTGATGAGAATGCTGCTCTCAATCTCTGGATCACTAAGAAGCATGATCTAAATAGGAAAACAGAGAAAACACAGTGTTAATGGAAAAGTAAAACTGAACTTCATTTAAAAGTGAGATCACAGAGCACTGATTCCCGCTGGACATACTCAGAACATTGTTCAACAGTATTAATGACGCAAAAGATTTTTAGTTCGTAGTTTTAGCATTTGGTTTTTGTTCTGTTTACTGATTCATTTGGTGATTCTGTACTTTCATTTCATTTTTGTCCAAATAAATTCAGAAAGCCCAATAATAAAGAAAAATGTTATGCTGACATTCAAGCCAATTTTGGTTGGACAGAGCAACTTCAGAGTGCCACATCAGGCTTTTCCTGGTGTTTTCCAGTCTATCACCTCCCTCCATAAATGTGAAAACCTCTCTCCAAAAGCACACAACAGGACACTCCGGAGATTTCAAGCTCCTTATCTGGCAGATTGCAGAGCTATGAATGAGAGCATCAGGTCACTGGCAACAGAATGCCTACCTGGGTCAGCTGCTGGCACCTGAAATTAGTCCACGTGTGTATGTGCAAACACTGATACATGATCTCATACATTATGCTCCCAATCTATACAGTAGGAGATAGTCATTCACTCAACCAACATATAATTTTCCCCAAGCAAAGGAAAGTGTTTGACCTCAATTTGTACAGGGAGGAAAATGCTTTTGTGCCTCTGATTTTAATTAGAAAATTATTAGCAATATTTTAGAATGGGTTGATTCCACTTTATCAGGTGCCATGCTCTGTGTAAATGTTATCAAGAAAAATGTTGTGGAAACATTAACACCATCTTATTAACATCTGGAGAAAACGACATCACATTAAAGCAAATGCCAACACCATAAAATAAAGGCAAACAGTGGGAAATAAATTAGAGCTGTGCTAAACACAGCAGGTTATTGATACACTAGCTGAAACAAATATAGAAACTGCCTTTCAACAGCAGAACACATCCAGGAGCTGCCTTTTTTAGCTGTGAAATGAGCAGCTAACTGCAATTCAAGGCAGTTTTGTCCCATTTGCATGTCCAAGTAAACTTTTCTTATCCAGCTTTGCAGAGCTCCAACCTCCAGATTATGATAGGGAGAAATATTAATTTTGACAGCAGCTATTTAATTACAGAAAATCAGTTAAAAGGAATGGTAAAACCCTTGGTATATTAGACCCCGATCAAGCAAAAAAAAAGAAAAAGAAAAAAGGCACATTTTTAATTTTAAGTACTGCATTAACAAGGGAAAGTGAATATAATGCAAATTGTTTCTGATCCTTTCCATTAAGGAATTAAAAAGGCCTTTAAAATTCGAGCTGAATGTTGTTCCTAAGGTGAAGCCACCTCTATGAAACCAGCCTGAGCTCATAGCTCCTTCAACACCTCTCACAGACTCCTTACCAGCTCGTTTACCTTACTCACAGTGCAACCCCGACCTGTTCCCACAAGAAATAATAAAAAAATAATAATAATAATAATAAAAAAAAAACACCACTACAATGCCTGAAAAGTGCACTGCACTGTGCTCTGCTGCACAGCATCAGCAATGGGAACCATTCCCACAGGAGATCAACTGCATGGAAATAAGTCTTAAGAACAAGTCCTCAAGGCCACCACCTAGAAGGAAGTTTGATACTTTTCTTCTACCTACATAAAGTAAAATATTATTTTATTTTGCTCCAGAGAAGAAAGATCTCTCCGGTATTTTAAGATCTTTTTCTGTCACTGGTGACAGACTTCAACAGCATTTTTGTCCCCCCAAGTACACCCGTGTTCATCTGAACCACGTTGCCCGTGCCAGACAGAACGGTAACATTAGGAAAAATTGTTTGCATCTGTAGAATGGAAGAAGGATGCAAGACTGCCAAGTATAGAAGCTATTCCGGAGAGATCTTACATTTAAGGAGAGGATAGTTTCGAATAAGATTTTCCACCAATTGTCAGAAAAGGTTACGAAATTATTAATGCTGTATGTTAAAAGGTCACTATTTGCTTTCCCTATGCTCCTTAACCAAGGGCAGAACTCTGCAGAGCTGACAGAGTACAGACGCAAAGCATCCACACAGGATCTGCAACATGTATGTGGACAGTTCAAAAAATGGCTCAGAGGAGATAGAAAAGGTGATGTTTCCACCAGATGGTTCACAAAGCCAGGCAAATAGTTCTCCCAGAAGCATAACAGTGGTTGCAAGATTAAATAATAAAACCACTAAGACAGGAAAATTAACAGCCAACCTTATTGAAAGATTAAAGGGGAAGATAGAATAGATTAACCACAGCCAGATCTTGTTTTAAGTGCAAACACATCAGTCATGCACCGCTCCTCACCTGGTGCTGATGTCAACCCTGAAAAAGACTCTTCCAGTGTTTTCAAATGGAGAAAAATCCCACACCTAACATCTCTGTTAGCATTCATTTTTCCAAACAAGGCTGATCCAACACAAAGTAAGAAAGGAGGCTGATCCAACACAAAGACAGGGAGAACAGGAGGCTCAAAGTAGGAAAAAAAAAAGAAAGAAAAAAAAAAGCCACTGGTCATGCAGCTAGGACAGGTCCCAACTTTTGTTGTGTTTGGAGAAAGTATTGGCAAGGAAGAGCGGGCTTTACTTTATTATTGCTTGTCTTTTTTCTGCTGAAAGCTAGGGGGGGATGGGACAACTTTTGGAAGGGGAAATAACAGGACATTTGTCAAAGGCCTGAAACTGTCACTTCTCATTATGGGACCAGGGCGAAGGATCCACCCCAGAAGAGATTTAGATTAATCGCTTTTCGTTAAGAGCCAATAAACAAACTCCAGTCAGAACGAGCACTGCTGCCAGCACCCTGCATTGCCATTTATAATTGCCATAAGGAACAGCAAAGAAGCACCAGAGAGTTGTCAAATGTAATTTATAGTTTTTTAAGATCTAATCATTTTCTATAATATTAAATTAAATGGCAGCCTTTATTAGAAAGGAAATTACATTTCACCTTGCAACACTGTAGAATATATGCACACACAAGAAGTATTTTAATATATTAGTAATCCTATACATATATAAAGTATTATTTTCAGTTGCTGTCTTCTCTAGTTTAAGCAGACAGGAGATGGGGAGGCAGGACTGATTACTTTGAAGGGGAAGTCCTTGAAAACATATTTGAGATGAGATGGTTTATACTACACAGGATTTCCTCTAGAACTAGTCTGGCCTCCAAAATTCAGTAAGGAATGAATGACAAGAACAAGACAAAACAAAACAAAAATCAGACTGAACTTCAGGTAGCTCCTTAGGACATGAACACAGAGGAAGAGAGCTGCCTGTGGTGTATCTCCGTTTAAAGCAGGAGCTTTGGGGACAATGATGACACGTACAGAGTTGTTCCGAATGGACTCCAGTTCAAAGGAATACCAGAAACTAGTGAAGGAAGCTCATAAAAGGCATATTCTTCAGAGAGTTTACCTTGCAAGAACATAAACTACAATGAAATTTTCAACACATGATCAGGAAAAACATCCAGCATTGAATCCTCCAAGGGGATTTATTCCACGAAATAAGCACAGGTTGCAGGCAGAAAGAACAAGGAAGGGAGGTGTCATACCTATACCTGCCACAGCATATTTGGTGCAGAAATCAGAGAAGTAGCAAAGAGCCACTGGTATTTGCTGGAGAGCATGTAGGACCCTTAAAGGAGCTGTGAACGAATGCCAAAGCGGAGATGAAGGAAAGTGACACCACATCACAAATCCATTCAGTGGGAATGACCACTAAAAGGGCTGAGATAATAAAACTAAGGCAGGATTTGTAACTAAGAATATGAGTTCCTGCTATCCTGATTAAAATCCCAGCTGTGACACTGAGTTAATAACTTCCTCAGCACTGGTTTCACCTAGGGTATATCCATGTGGTTGAATTAATATGGTGTCACCTTCCTCTTCCTCTGCCACAGACTAGCTAGGCACAAGATGCCTTTGACCTGGAATACTGAACCACACCAGTAAGGAGCTAGCATACGTCTCACAGGCACAATGATATGATGAGCACAGACTACTGGCTTGGAGCTATTAGTAGCCTGAGTTCGTATCTGCCTGGATCTACCATCACCACGCTGAAGATTGCCCTACAGCTCGGCACTCACTTCTTCTCCCAACTCCTTTCACTGCTCTGGCTTCACTCTAAAGTCCTGCTTGGCACATCACCTCTATCCTCCTCCTTCAGCACACAGTGTGCAGGAACAGCCACCCCCAAAACCTTTATCACGTTACCTGTATATAAAGCAGCAGATTCAAAAGCTTCACCACCACTCTTGCTCCCTGGTTCTGCGTTGTCCCAACACAACAGAGATCCATTTTGTATACAGCTGAACCATTTAATAAACTACCTCTGGACAAAAACTTAAACAACATGCCACATAAAAGGCATTTTTATTAATATTAGTTCTCATTAAATCCTTTTATTTTTGCAAACCAACATAAATTTTGATTTTAAATTACCAGTGTGCATCTCTTTAAATCAGCATGGAGAAGTTTTATAGGTACAATATCTGCAGCAATAGTATCACTGAGCTACATCAGCAGGAAGCCTCCCAGTAAGTGAATAAAGAAGACAGGTTCGAAATAAATGACTTTTGTTCCCAGAAATAAGTAGATAGCATTAAACCATTATGTACTGCCTTCTGATTTTCCTCTTCTCTTTTTAATGTGCTTTTAATATGTGGGCCTTTTCAGAGTTTCTAGTCACATTTTCATTTCCCTATAGAATGTGCTATTCGAAAACGAAATAAACAAAACAGCCTTACAAAAAAAATAAAAAAATAGTCCACCTACAAACCACCCAACCCTCCACAGCTACAATAGGATCCCAGGTTCTTAGCGGTATGTTAGCAATTTGCTTTGGATCACTGCATTGTTCTCTTCTGCAACTGAGAAAGTAGTTCTGCCACAAACACCACTGCAAAAGCAGAAACTCCAGGTTTCCTCTTCACACCTTCATTGTGATTATTCTATTGAAAGTGCTCAGCTTACACTTTTTTTTTTCTTC